ATGGAAAGTTGCCGATATTATGGGATTAAACATTCTGTATATTATTAAAAAACAAAAAAAATGATGCACGGCGCATGGCAAGACCTTGTAAATAAAATTAATATTGAACATGTCGATATTAATGAAATTGCTATTCTAAAATTTGTATCTTTTGTTCGTAATTTTGATGTTATTAAATTTTGTAGATATTCAAAGTCGGGCCTGGTCATTCTTGTAAAGTTTTGAACTGATCATAGCCCTCCTCAGACACTAAATGGTTGCAGTAAATTATATCGATTTCTAAAAATTTGGGTTTGCCATCAGCGACGATGTTTTGGATTTTTCTTTTTAATAATTAAGCTTTGCATAACAATGACTGCAGCCTCGACTATTTGTTGGTCGTCCATTATTTTCGCCAACACAACTCTGCTGTGCACGCACAAGTGGATCACTTCATTCGTCGAAAAATAAGTTTTTAATTTGAGCGGGAGCCGAGAGCGCGAACGAATGCCGCGCGCACGCTCAGCTCGTGCGTGCTCAAGTCTAAACGCACCTTTTACCAACATAGATCCGATTCTGCTTTTTTTCGTAGCTATAGGTGGTTATAGTCTTAATTTTTTTTCGATTTATTATAATTTTCTTCTAAGTGCTTTAAGTGTAAAAATTACTATAAGTACCTACTACAGATTTTAATACTAAAAAGTGTCGACAGATTCACCAGGGACATGCATATGAATTTTCACTGGAATATTTTTCTAAAAAAATATGTGCGCCACTGACTTTTCTCTTAGTAAAATTGTATAAGGCCATTTAATTCCCATTAAAAATTGTCTCTTCATATTTTGTCGATTTCGGACTCCTTGATATAACCGCAATTTTATTAATCACAATAAAAAAAATAATAAATTATTTATTTAACCTAATTTATTATTAAATTTTATTAAAATTTGTAACATTGATGATGTAAACAATAATAATAATAATAATCTACCTACAGGCAACATTAAAAATAAATAAATGGTATTTAAGATAATTAGAAAACCTATTATTTAAAAGTTTTAACATCCTGTAACGTTAAAACTATATGCATTTCCGCGTCCATGTTTATAGGAACATTCTTTTTTTATGAGGAATGAATGAGTTCTTTTTTAACCCTGGTCAGTTAATAACATTAAAAATCTTAAAGGTTGCTATTTGACTTGGATTAAGCAAATTAATAAAATTGCGTTTATTTCAGAAACAAAGCAGAGTTGGACCAATGTTGAAATCAGAAATAAATCTTATTTTTACGTGAGGAATCTGCTCACGAGAGATGGCCAAAATTGATTAAAAAATGTTTCATGTTTCTTGAATCACTCTGTATTTCAGTGATTAGAAATCAGAAGATGAACAAGTATTGCATTTAAATATTACACAAAAATAACAGGAATACAATACTATTTTTAATAGCGCTAAAGAAAAGATATACCGGGTGCGTCTCAAAAATGGCTCACCCCTATAACTCTTATATTTTTCAGATAAAAAAAAAACGATGTTTGGTATTTTAGTATATGACATAGATTAGGATTGATTGACGTATTCATTTGTTTTTGATTACACACTGTTTCACCAGAAATGACTACAACTTTTGATTTTTAAATGGCATCCTCCGTATATTTTCACTTTATTCGATAGAACAAAACACTCAACTAGTAGAATGACATAATATATATGTCAACTTTTGAGATTTTCGCTTTAAAAAAATTGAATTTTAAATTTCAATCTAGAGTGCCATCGCTGTGTTAAAACACTAATTTTTAATCAAGGACCCTTGATTAAAAATAGATTTGATCGTCTAATGTTTTTCGTGTCTTGTTCTAGCCGGATAAAAGATGCCCCAAATTATATTTTTAATCATATATTTCAATTTTTTGCCGACCGTACCAATAGGTATGGTGTTCTATTAAGATCATAAAGAGTGAAATTAAAAAAGTTTTTTTTAATTTCACTCAAAATGAGTTATTTGGGTCATAAATGACCTAAATACAAAATATTTTCATAGTGTCTGTAACACGATAAAACTCAAAAACCGCTAAACCGATTTTAACCAAATTTGGCACAAAAATACGGTGGCACCCGAGAATGGCCATTAGTTTTTGGTGGGGGTGGGGGGTTGGTAAGGGGGTATGGGAGGGGGTTAAAAATTTAAGAAAATCCAAAATTACAGTAGTTAGCGAAACGCGGTTTTCAATTTAAGATTAGGAATAATATTTGCAACAAAATTTGTAATAACATCAAAATCAGTCAAAGTCGCAGTTTTTGAGATAAAAAAAATTGAAAAAAATTACTTTGAAACTAAAAGAACTGCCTACCAACTTTTTATTAACATATTTTAGTAGGGGCGGCTATACGTGCCTCCCGGCGCCAATTTTTTCAAATGGAACAAGGGTGGCTCATTAGCATATCGTCGGTGAAATGTGATAAACTGCTAACTAAATTATTCCTCATTTTAGAGGAGAGAAAAGAAACGGTACAAAAAATATGTACACATGTAGCAAGTATATATTCTTGGTTAATGTGATAAAGAGATAACAATAATATTTGTTTGGAAACAATAAAATTCAATATTTCGTTACAAATTTTACGTAAAAATGATGTGTTAAACGTATTATTTACTTAAAATCAAAAATGGAGTCAAATCAATCACATTTCACTGACGGTATTTGGAAAAAGTATTTTTTTACGAATAATTTGGTTCCACACACTTGCTATTTTGAGTCAAATTGTCGTTATGAACCGATTGTTACAATTTCAAATAAACCATATCCGAAAATGTCAAAAGTTGACATATATGTCATTCTATTCGGAGTGTCATTTTCTATCGAATAAAATAAACAAATTTCGAGAGTGTCATTTAAGAATTAAAAGTTGTAGTCATTTCTGATGAGACAGGAAGTGACCAAAAACAATTGAATACGTTAATCAATCCTAATTTATGTCATATACTAACATACCAAGTCTCGTTTTTTTTATCTGAAAAAATAACAAAGTTATAGGGGTGAACCACATTTGAGACACACCTGGTATAGTAAAATTAATTTTAAATTAGTATTTGGAAACTGTTTTATACTAAACCCTTGTTTATATATTCTTGTATACAAGATAAACATATTAATCGTATTAAAGAAAATACCCTACATATTTTCTTTAATACGATTAATATGTTTATCTTGTGATATATAGATATAAGAGGGATATTTTAAAAATCTAATTTATTTATAAATGTAACAATAATTGTGTACTCCGTATTTATTGATGTTGAATGGCACTCGTTTATAATTGTGATTTATAATATTTTTATATTAATATATAATTTTTATAAAATTGAAGTATTTCTTACAATAACTAAGCTAATACACAATGAACACCTTTATAATTATTCAAGTAGTCAACATATTATATTATGTTATGTTTCTTTAATACATCTTGGTGAGTTTATAAAAAACATTTTATTTTTTTTTTAATTTCTAAATGTTTATTGAAATATTTCACATTTCACATGTTCTATCTCTTTTCTTTCTAAAGTGTATATTAATGACTAAACAATAGAGATTGCAAGCATATATTGAAATTATAATGAACGAAATGTTATTAATTATAAAGGATTTTGCAATACAATAAAAAGCACTTTAAGGATCACAATATACTTTTAATACTGTATTTGTATATATTTGACAATTGTTAATGTTTGTTGTCTCAGCCTTATAAGCATATACTGATACTTTTATAGTCTGTTATAATTTTGCTAATAGCTTTTCATCAACACTTGATGAAAAACTAAACTGCCCGTCAAATGAAATATCACAGCGATTTTTTTACTCATTTTCAACGAGTTGTAACTTGTAAAAAAAAATGGACCGATTTTGTTGATTTTTTTAGCATATTAAAGACTGATTTTTCTAAATTTTGTATGAGATTTAGTTTTCTATGATATACAGGGTGTGAAAAAAAGGAATGCAATTTTTGTGTTGCTGCCATTTTGCAAAAAAAAGGTTAACTAGAATTATAAGTTCTGGGTATAGCTAAGAGTAATCTAAACTCTACTAATCTCGGGACGTATTTGGAATTTTTACGATAACTCATCTGGAATAAAAGATAATCAATTTTTACTCTAACTTGTATTTTTTCTAACTTTCTTAAGAGATATGATAACAAAATTGAAATTAACTTTAAAATTGTAGGATATTCGTTACTTTTACAATGTGAAATTAAAAAAAAACGATTTAACTAACGCAGTTTAATACAAGATCTCTTAAAAATACGACCAACGAAAAAGTAAAATTATTTTTTAACCTTATGGGCTGTTAAGTTCAGAATATTAAAAAAAAATAATTTTACTTTTTCGCTGGTCGTATTTTTAAGAGATCTTGTATTAAACTGCGTTAGTTAAATCATTTTTTTTTTAATTTCACATTGTAAAAGTAACGAATATCCTACAATTTTAAAGTTAATTTCAGTTTTGTTAGCATATCTCTTAAGAAAGGTAGAAAAAATAGAAGTTAGAGTAAAAATTGATTATCTTTTATTCCAGATGAGTTATCGTAAAAATTCCAAATACGTTCCGAGATAGCTATAGCCTAGCCATACCCATAGCGAGCCTTAGCTATACCCAGAACTTATAATTCTAGTTAATTTTTTTTTGGCAAAATGGCAGCAACACAAAAATTACATTCCTTTTTTTCACACCCTGTATATTATAGAAAACTAAATCTCATACAAAATTTAGAAAAATCAGATCAATCTACGAAATACGATCTTTAATATGCTAAAAAATCAACAAAATCGGTCCATTTTTTTCAAAGTTAGAACTCGTTGAAAATGAGTAAGAAAATCGCTGTGGTATTTAATTTGACGGGCAATTTATATGTATTTTTTTGTGCAATTATATTTAAAATTCACACAAAACAATATATCTGTGATGATCAACTTGAACATGTGACGTTCAAGTTATTTTACGAATTGCATTGTGCATACACATATAGTTCAAAGCACAATTTATTCAGATATACTTTTACACAAAAAAAGCTGTATCAGAAAATTCAACCAAATCAAAATTGGGGATTACCAGAGTTTTTCAAACTGATGATAATCTACTGATAAAATTTATAGGGTAAAACCTGGAAACTTAGCATTTTCTGGTTCTTGCAGATCCAAAAGCAGGTACATAGGTCCCGAAATTCCTTCAAATAAGGACATGGGCCGATCTGGGGTACACTGTTCCCGATTTTTAGTATGATCTAAACAATATTCTGCAAACTTAATTGCACGGTAGAGATGCTTCTCATCCTAAAAAATATTAAATAAGGATCACAAATTTAACGATGATATTCAGTACCTTCGTTGTTTGGAATAGTTCAATAAAACAATAAGCATTGCCAGCAACCCCATGACACAAACTATAGCCTTTCTTGAGCAAACCTCTCCACCATATTATATCAGCACATTTCAGAGCCGAATATAAATAATGCTGCTCTCCAAAAACCTATAAGTTATATCAATTGCTAGTTAATTCACATTTCCACATTTAAATTCTAGATATATTTACCCTATAAGCTGCACAATACATGTAAAGAAATCCTGGAGCACCATGACACCACTGCACATATTTATCAGCTTTTCCAGGTCCTAAAGACGAAGGAAAGTTTCCAGTTGGAAATCTATAAGTCAATCAAATTTATATTTAATCAAGTATACATATAATAGAGATGGTACACTTTTATTACCTTAATGTTGTTAAAAACTGAATAGTTGGTTTTATTAAATTATTTAATTCGTCCTCTAAAAGATAGTCTCTTGCCTGTAACAACAGATATATTATTCCTGATATACCGTGAGCTGCTCCCAAATATTTTGTGTTGTGCCATTCAAACATCAAAGGGCAGTCTTTTTCAATTTTTAAATGTTTTGCTAGTGTTTCGCCACATGTGAAAATAGCACTGATCACCTAAATAAATACTCTGTAATAACATATTTAACACATAATACTCAACATACACTTCTTATAACACTTTCATTAAAAGGTGATGGTGAAACATGTTTATTGACATATAATAAGGCATATAAATAGCCAGCTCTCCCATATAGGTATTCATTAGCTAGATCAGAACTAGTATTCTTTACAACTTTTGAGAAAGCTGCTAATCTAAAACATTAAATAACTCTATCCTTTAGTTGATAATAGCTTAAAAAAACTTACCTCTTAATACAGAAGTCAAATATTTTATTATCTTCTAATTTATGTGATATTACAGCAGCAAGTGCTAATGGTCCTGCATCACCACATAAGAAAGACACACTACGGTTCTTTAAATGATCCAGTTGCAAATAGTTTTTTCTAATGTTCTAAAATAAAAATATTATTTCAATGATATCGAAAATGAACTATAGTTTCATTTACCCTTAAATTTTTTTTATCATTTGGTGCCTTTCGTAATAACAACATACCCACACCAGCAGTGCCAGTATATACTGAATAATCAGTTGAATTCCAATCTTCTAGCTCTTTTAATGTTGATTCCCATTTAAAATTCAATCTGGACTTAATGAGGCTGCCGGTACTTACTGTTTTGTTTTCAATATGAGGTTTTGCATTCTGTTCAGTGTAATCATCGTAGACGTTTTTAAAATGGTAATTATGTGTCTTTGGAGAATTAGGGCTATCCATATCCACGTATCAAAATGTAAAGCACTGCTTCTAGGCACGAATTAGTAAATTCAGTAAAAATTACTTAGGATTTTCGCTGTTATATTTTAGTTAGTTGATTTTTTTCCACAATTTCTTGTTTACATTGGTTTAAAAGTCTGTTTTTGACAATGTTGACCTTCAAAAAGTCCTTGCCGGTATCATATCATATATCACATCGAGCATGTATGGCATGTATGTATAATATGATAAGGTCCTTGCTTTATTAATGATGTATGGAAAAAATTATTAAATTCGGATAAATAGGATAATTTTTTGTTCATTTTGTTTTATTCTTTTGAATTAGCGGTTAATTTTTTATCAAAATCGGTCTTTTTTGTCTTTCTATTTTATTTATTTAATTTATTAACGATTTGTGATATCTGAGTCATATATATTTTAATGCATATGATGGATAAAAAAAAACATATATGATCATTATACGACTTAACAAATATCATATCTTCGGAGATTTAAAACCTGACACCTGACTGATATCAGCTGATTAATTCTATGTTTGACAGTTGTGTTGTCAAAAATTTTTGTAATTTGTGGTTAACTTGCCATTGTTTGGAAAATTGATAAATGATTTCTTTTTTAACGAAAACATTGTTTAAAACATTTAAATTTGTCAGTTATGGATGAATCAGAGGGTCCCATTTTGTATGTTTTAGTTATTGGTTTTCATCACAAAAAAGGATGCCAAGTAAGCACTAATGTCATTGATTGTAAATTATATTATGTTACTAATAATTGATAATTCATTATCAATTATTATTTTTCTCTCTACGATAATGAACTTGTAATTTTTTTAATTATAATTTTAGGTAGAATTTTCTTTTCCGCCATTAGTTCCTGGATCTCCTAATGAATGTCCACCCGGTTGGAAGTATTTACCAACATTAGCTTTACCTGACGGTTCTCACAATTTTGATGAAGATACAGTATTTTTTCATTTGCCCAGTTTAAAAAATCCAAAGCAGACAGTTTATGGTATTTCGTGCTTTCGACAAATACCAGTTGAAGTAAATTTTAAATTTATTTTCAAGTCATGTTTTCCTATATGTGTATTCAATTTTTTTAGAAGCTTAAAAATGTTACCTCTGATGTTACTAGAGGCACAGTGCAAAAGTCAGTTTGTGTGTTAAGTCAGATTCCTCTTTATGGACAAATTCAAGTTAAAATGGCACTTATAACCCATGCATATTTCGATGAAGGAGACTTTAGTAAAGTGTCTATTTTAGAAGATACATTCCATCATCTAAACTCTGTCTTAAAACAAAATGATATTGGCCAGCAACTTTTTGTAGGTAGGTATTATACTTTAGAATTATTAATAATTGTATATTTAATATTTTGTAACTTTGTAGGATTATCAGCTAGAGATTTTATTTTGCAGTGGAAACATAAAGCAGTACTTTTATTTAAATTGCTGTTATTAGAAAAAAGGGTAATATTTTTTAAGTCTCCAGTGCTTCCACTATGTTCCACAATTTTAACCTTGGTTTCCTTATTTCCTGAACTAATTGAAAATGGTCTGAATCAATCAGCTTGTATAAGGTAGATTTACAAAGCGTATTATTAATAATACCGTATGATCGAAAAAAAACGGCGTCCAGTTGGCTGGGAAATGAACATCGATGACATTTCCCATATAAATTTATATATAAAATGACAGCAATCTTCATTCTATAGCCATCGCTGACGCCGTTTTTTCTCGATCATAGGGTACTATTGATGCTGTGTAAATTGTTAACATATTGTTTATTTCATACTTTTTAGATTATCAAGACCTATGTCACCAATGCCGGAATTTTCAGATGATGATTCACCTATACATTCACCAGTGAATCATTTTAGTCGAAATATAAATAATGTTAATTTAAATCAAAATTGTAATCTAGAAGTGAATACTACTCACTTTCGCTCAGAAAATACCAGTCAAAATGAAAACAATAAAAACGAACTAATTGAAAGTGCAGTTGAACTCACTGAATCAACGTTAGTTTCAAAGGAAGAAAGTAATGGAATTAATAACATAGGGGAGAAAAGCAATAGCTTACGCCGAGACATGAGTTTGGATACTATAGCGGATTCGGCACGGAACAATATGAGTTATCTTGCCCAACTTAGTATAGAATCGTGTGGATTTCCTTTAGCTATATTTACCAAGGGTTGCTTGTGCTTGCCTTACTTGTCGTTGCCATATTTAGATTTACTTGTTGACATTAATGTTAGAAGCTATGTAGTTGGAGCTACAAATATTTTATTCAAACAGAAGAGACAACTTTATGATATTCTCGTTGACATCGATGGAAATAGGTACTTTGCTTAAATATAGGAGACTAAAGATGAGCCAAACTGGGATTCTGCAATCGCAATTGAAACTTCGAATGCAAGTTTTAAATTGCAGCGACTGTTATTTAAATATTTTCCGATGCACGTGATCAATTTTGAGTTTCAAGCGATGGCGTCAGCGCTGCCAGATTGTGATGGATTTATGAGTTGAATCTTAATTTAAAAGTGGCTTTGTTTTATAGCTTATTTTACTTATTACAAATTGGCAAAAGCTAGTGCATTATGAAGATTATTCTAAGCGTTATTATGGGTTATTTATTTATTTATTGATGTACATCTTACAACGCCATGAGTAGTAATAACAAGTAAGAGAGTGCTATTAATGCACAAACTAACAATCACGGAATTTAATAAAAACTAACGTAGAAATAGCTTTGAAAGTGGTGTAATGTGCTTATCAATCAAACTTACTTCTCTGACTGCAGTCAAGGGTAATAAAGGACCTTCATTGTCACGTTCTCGTTCAAAATAGTTTATCAGGGAAGCTAAAAGCTCTTTGCTTCGACTGTTTCAATGCTTTGGCATATTTTCAACAGAAAATTTCAAGAAATGCAATACAAAAACTTGAAAATTTAGTTCTTAAAATAACTGTTTGTGCTTAAAAGTACAATTTTTAAAAAAAGACTATGAAAATATGCAAAAAAACGAGAATTACTCACAAAGATTCAACAACAACACAATATTATACAAAATAATGACTGACATTAGGATAATTGATAATTGTCAAATAATAAAGGACAACCTTGCTGAAAACGACGCAATGTGACCAACGTAGCGATAATAAAATTCGGTTTAAACTAATTTTTGCAGCTTTAATCTAAGATAAATCTAGATAATAAAATATCTGTTACAATCATTTGTTCCATAAAGTAAAATGAATAGCTGCTGGGTATCTTAAATTGTAAAACAAATTTAAACATTTTTGCCAAAATTTCATTTAGTCAAGTTTATAAACTTTACTGTCAATGTCGATATGATTGATGACGTGCATCGGAAAATGTTTTGCGATTACAATAGGTATTTAATTGTCTGTGTATGTATCTATAGCTTAACAGCTCAAAAGAGTTAATATTAATCGATAGTTTAGTTTTTAAGTTTTTATTTAAAATCTACAACACATTATAGCTATTAAAACTTTATATAATACTACCTTATGATCGAAAATAAATGGCGTCCAGTTGGCTGGGAAATGACGATCGATGACATGTTCCATATAAATTTACATATAAAATGACAGCGGTATTCATTTCATAGCCATCGCTGACGCCGTTTTTTCTCGATCATACGGTAGTTGAAGACTGGCGCATCCGCCACGACATCGACATTAGGAAAAAAAATACTTTTTATTTTTCTAAAAAAATAAATGAAAAACTAAAAATCCGGCGACGACAGTTTTTAGAAGAGCCAATTAGCTATCTTTTAGTAAAAAAAGCAACTTTCTATAAAGCAAGTCTTTACTTCAGTAGAGACGACACAGATAAACATTAGCATTATATATATGTAGAAGATAGTTGAAGCCTGGCGCATCCGCCACAACATGAGGGGAAAAAATACTTTTTATTTTTTTTTCTTAATTAAATGAAAAACAAAAAATTCGGAGATGACAGTTTTTAGAAGAGCCAATTAGCTATCTTTTAGTAAAAAAAGCAACTTTCTAGAGCAAGTCTTTACTTCAGTAGAGACGACACAGATAAACATTAGCATTTTATATATGCAGATGTTGCAACTGCTGCAATTACATATACCTACTCTTCTCTAAGGTTCTCAATTATCTAATTCTTTATTTAATTCTTAAAAATCTAAAAGATTTATTTTTTAAGATTGCTCACCTCCAGGACGGTTGGGAAAACTACATGTTACTTATAAAAACTACATTACATGTAGTTAATGTAGTTTATGTAGAGGGTGTAGTTTATGTAACATATGTATGTAACTTTCAAATATCAAAGGTTTGAGGTGAGGTTATAATAAGTTGAAGCTTTAGAAAACACATCATGTATTTAAGAAAACAGAAGAAATATGGCTTCAAATATAACCATTCACATCATTTTATTTAGATTCCTCATACAAAGCAAAATTATTCATAATATCAATAGATAGTTTATTAACGTAGAGTTTAAGTTTAGTTTATTAAAGACGTAGTTTTTGAAGACTAACCCTGCCCCCAGGGTTCGGAAGTAGTTAATTAAATCGTAATTTACCTGATTAACTACGTGTAGTTTTTCTTCAAAAACTACGTCCTTTCTCGTTCATTAACTACATGAAAACTACGTTAATAAACGTATTGATATTATGAATAATTTTCCTTTGTATGAGGGGTCTAAATAATATAATGTGAATATTATATAACTACACCCTCTACATAAACTACATTAACTACATGTAATGTAGTTTATGTAGTTTTTAAAAGTAACTTGTAGTTTTTCGAAACCTGCTCACCCTTTTTCCCTTTTTTCTAATATGCCAAGGAGCCACCCCCTGTTCCGAAAAAATTGAGATATGATTAAAAATACGATTTGGGCATCTTTTTTCTAATCTATCCGAATTTTTAATCAAATCTATTTTTCCAAGGCATCTTGATTAAAAATTAGTGTTTTTAACACCGTGATGATAAAGTAGAAGTATACCGAGGGTGCCATTTAAAAATCAAAAGTTGGAGTCATTTCCTGTGAAACAGGAAGTGACCATAAACAATGGAATACCTAATTTATGTCATATACTAACATACTAATTCTTTCAATTTTTATCAGAAAATAAAAAAGTGAACCACTCTTAAGAAACACCCGGTATATTATTGATTGTGGCCCTAGAAAATAATACCTTCTCTATAAATAAATAATATCAGTGAGAAAATTTAGTCGCAGTTTACTATAAAATGCTTCAATAGACCACAAATTCAAACACGTAGATGTAAGGTTATCACGGTTCTAGTTTACAAAATCACAATCACAGCAAAATCGCAAATCGTAACTACTACGTAATATTGGTTGCTTAAATTGAAACTCGCAAATAGAAAAAATCGCTATCGCAGTTTCCTATGAGAGCCGATCGCAGGTTTGGTTTGGTTATCACAGTTTCAATTTGAATCACAGTTTGCGGTTTTTTGCTCATCTCTATAGGAGAAGGAGACCCATTACAGTAATTAATGATCTTTGATTGTTGTAGAATAGAATGTCAGGATGTTACATTAAGAAAACATCTTCATTTAACTACAGAGGATCTTAGATTTGCTGATTATATTGTTAAGCATGTATCTGAGGAAAAACATGATGTTTTCTTAGACGGGGTTGGATGGGAAGGAGGCGATGAGTGGATAAGAGCTCAGTTTCGAGTTTATTTGTTGTGCTTATTAAGGACTTCTTTGTTACAAGGTTTGTATAGCGGATTGTTCAAATAATAAGTTAAAGTTAAGCAGGTTGTTTTTAATTATGTTTGCTATACAGGGTGGTCCGAACTGTATTCCGGAAACTTCGGCAGCATATTCTGCAGATAAAAATAAGTAAAAAAGTTCGTATAAATGTATGTCCTAAAATGCTTAGTTACAGGGTGTAGAAGTTTCATTTTTATTACAATTTTTTTCCAGATAATGTCTGAAGTAACCTCAATATTTGGATGAAAATTGGTGTCTGGGAGTTTTTTGACATGAGAAATTTGGATTTTGATGTCAATATGGCTCCCATTGGTAGGGGGCCCCACCTACATGTGTTTTAATTGTTTTAAAGAGTAATAACTTTTCGTTTGTACCTGTATAAAACTACTGAATGAAAGAATATACATTTCCGTGACTTTTTACGTAAAAAATGTGTCTTGGTAAAAATGTCAAAATATTCAGAATGGAAATATGCGTGTCATTATTGTCATTATTGACAAAAATATGCGTGTCATTATTGTCATTATTTACAAAAAATAAACACCTTGGGTAGATGGTTATTTGACTGAAATAATAAATTTGGTAAATTTTTTCTGCGAAAAAATTGTGATAAAACAGTTTCGGTTGAACTTTTGGCACAAAAACATTTAAAATTTATGATTTCAGTCTAATAGCTACCGTATGATCGAGAAAAAGCGGCGTCAGCGATGGCTATGAAATGAAGATCACTGTCAATTTATATGTAAATTTATATGGGAAATGTCATCGATCGTCATTTCCAACTGGACGCCGTTTTTTTTTTTCGATCATACGGTATTTAGTCAACATGTTTAATTTATAGGTTTGTTCCAACCAGCATTTCGGGATCGTTTCGAAATCGTACTCGAATCGGTTTTCTTGCACTTTGTTAGCATGCGCGGACTTCGAATAGTGCAAAAAGTATCAACGTTGGAACGCTTTTGCTGTCCTCCTTTCACGCAGTTGAGCAGCTCTGAATTGTTCAAGAACGCGATACTCTCACTCCATTCAGTTGAGTCATAAAGTTCCAGAACTGTTCCGCGCCATATGGAGGCACCAGGCTATCACGCACCGCTCCTTTCAGAACCGTTCTCGAGTAGCCCCAGGGCGTAAAGCCCGGAACTCGAACTTCGCAAATGAAGGACAGCATTTGTGGATTGTTTTCGGGACTGTCAAAAGTGTTAAGCGTGCGTGTATCGATCGATTTTTTGTTTTTTTTTAGAATTTCATAACATAACCCTATTATTTTTGTTTGCAATTTGCAATAATAATAATTATTGTTCTTGAAATGGAGAATACAGTAATTGTTGGTAAGTGTTGTTTCAACTGTATACTCACTAACTCACTTACCTATCCTCTCTTTTATGATCCTGTTATGCGTAGTTTCCTGTTATTTCATTGCAGTGGTAGAATCTTTGAACATTATTTTATCAATAAAAAAATAATTAAAATTTCCGAACGATTTACTCCACACGTAATTCGTAAAACAACTATTCGTAAATAACAATTCGTAAAAAATAACCAAGACAGAAGCATCAGCCGGACGCCGGACCAGAATCACCTGTTAAAAATCGATAATTCGTGCCAATATGCTTTAATGCGCAAGGCAACCCAAACAGTTCTCAATTTGGACCATGTACCGAAATTACCGTTCTGAAATCGTAACTAAACGATCCCAAGGTAGGTTGGTACGCAAATAGGATCGTCCGATAACCGTCAAATCTCGGTTGGAACGTATTTGAATTACTGCGCAGGAGCGTGATCATTCGGTGACGGTTCTGCGGCAGGTTGGAACAAACCTTATTTCAATGATGACAGGTATTTATAATTTCGATTCCAAATATCTCGAGAACCATTACTCGTAGCGGTTTTTACCAAGAGAGCTTTTTTTAGGTCAAAAACATAGTTTTATACAGATACCGACGAAAAGTTATTCTTAAAACCATTTAAAAAAAATGTAGGTGGCGCTCTCTACAAGTAGGAGTCATATTGACAGTAAAATCAAATTCCTCATGTCAAAAAACTCCCTGACACCAATTTTAATCCAAATATTGACGTTACTTCATAAATTATTTGGAAAAAATCGAAATAAAAACGAAACTTCTAACTTCGACACCCTGTATCTCCGAAACTAAGCATTTTAGGACATACATTTGTACGAACTGTTTTACTTATTTTTATCTGCAGAATATGCTGCCGAAGTTTCTGGAATACAGTTCGGACCACCCTGTATAATGAATTGAATAACGGCACTATATTATAATTAAAAACTATATATTATTTTACTTGTTATCATTAAAGACAGGAAATAGCGAAAGAAATGAAAGGAAAACAATACTTAGCTGAAGCACAGTCTTAATACGCAGATCAATTCTTTTTTTAGGCTGGTTCGACATTCGATTCTTACTTTTAGGCTGGTTCGACATCACCGTTCCGAACACGGTTTACGAACGATTACAATTTTTATTTGAACGCAAAAGTTATCGTTCGCTAGACGATTTTACTGTTGAGGAAACGCATTTTTCCTACTGCGCATAAGCGTAACCCACCAAGAACGGTTCTCTATGTTGGAACAAACCTATTACTATCATCATCTTATTTCTACTTATCACATATCTGAAAAAAATAGAATTTTTAACAAATTACAGTTTAATTATCACATATTTTAAGTTACTTATATCATATTTGCTTGGCAGATGGCGCTAGAGAAATAGACCATTTTAATGCAAGTTATATCACGGCTTTGCGGGACACTCACAACTATAAAATATGGTTAAGTGGCGTCAATCCAGGAATATTAGACGTACACCCGGGTCATCCTTTTGCTGGACAATTGTCTGTTGCTGATATGAAACTTAGACTGACGCAGTAAGTTAATTATTTTATCTCTTTGTATGTATAATTAAGTAAATTTAACTTTAAGCACAATGCAAAGTACGGAAAGTGGTCGGAAACTTAACCAAGCAATGAGCTCTACAGGTAGAGCAGTAGTGACAACAAGCAAAGCTGTAGGTAAGAAAAAATAAGTTTAAATTAGTTTTTAAGGCAAAGTTAGTTCGTAATTTTTTGACTAAAAGTTGAATTTCAAACAAAATAAAATCATATAATACTAATTTATGTTTTAAAAATGTTTTAAATATTACTTGGATAGACAGTTATGATGATTTTGAAACATAAAAGTAAAATAACTTTAATTAACCTCACTTTTCCTTTACTGTTTGTTGTGTGGTATAGTCTGTCCAACGACAAGATCCTTGACAGTGATAGGTGTGTCTGTCATTTTAATTTCTAAGTAGTTCATTTTATTTTACAAAGAAATAAGTTGGTACAATTGCAGGTGGTGCATAGCAGGAAATTAATATTTTACAGCTACTCCAGTTTTTAATATATGTTTAGTACTTGGATAGACAGTTATGATGATTTTGAAACATAAAAGTAAAATAACTTTAATTAACCTCACTTTTCCTTTACTGTTTGTTGTGTGGTATAGTCTGTCCAACGACAAGATTCTTGACAGTGATAGGTGTGTCTGTCATTTTAATTTCTAAGAAGTTCATTTTATTTTACAAAGAAATAAGTTGGTACAATTGCAGGTGATGCATAGCAAGAAATTAATATTTTACAGCTACTCCAGTTTTTAATATATGTTTAGTACGATCCTTGTACCATATACGAGATGCACTTATCTATGACGAGATGGTATACAAACTTTAATGATGGTAACTTTATTGGTGTGAAGACTTTCTGCTTGGGCACCGAGTATTAACTATAAACTGTGCTCTGGGTCTACAGTTAATTTTCCCTCGATTTTTCCTCAACTTGACTTCAAAAGACACAAAATACACGTAAAAACAGGAATTAAAATGTATCATCTCTCAAAACGCAGGGTATTTGACATAAGTTGACACAAAATTATAACCTATAATTTGGCAAGACTGTCGCAAGCCTCAAAAATCTAAAGGCGAGTTCATACGCATCGGCGTCCGTTTTTCGTTCATCGTTCCGTCAAACCAATAAAATTGAAATACGATCTGTCATTTTTGAAATAAACCAATAAAACTGGTTTAAAACAATAAGAGACGACGCAGGACGGATTTATATTTAAACCCATCCATAGATAACTTAAAAAATATTACAAATTTTTTTTAGTAAAATAAATAGATTGGTATGGACGTCATCTGCTTTTCTTCTGTCATCGTCTGTCGAAATCTTACCTGAGAAAAAAAAACAGAGTATATAGGTATCTAAAGGCCGTTTTACAGTTTGCAATAGTTTGTGCAAATTGCAATTTTCTTGATGGAAGGCATGCACAGTCAGAATTGTAGTTGTAATTTATTGTAGCTACAGATGAGAATAAAAGGACTTAAAACGATTGATTTTTCAGAATAGCTACTATACTAATATAAATAATAATACCGTATGATCGAAAAAAAACGTCCAGTTGGCTGGGAAATGACGATCGATGACATTTCCCATATAAAATGACAGCGATCTTCATTTCATAGCTATGGCTAGTGATGTGCAGGTCGGAACGTGCCTTAGGGAACGTGCCCATGTTCCGGGAACGTTCTTCTAAGGTCGGGAAAGTGACTGAAATTCGGGAAAGTTGTATTTTGATGCGAGTTGGAATATTCCTCGGAACATTCTTAAATTTAGGGAAAGTAATCAAAACATTAGAAAAGTTGTGAACAGGCCTTGACAACAGCAACTTGATTTATTATTAGATTTATGAGAATAATAAAAATTAAATATATTTTGAAAGTTATATTTTCTTAACTTTATCACTTTTCTGCCCTTTGGGGAATATTTCCGGGAACCTTTCCGGAAAGTTTCCAATTTTTCATAACATTAAAACTTTTTTCAATTCCTATCACTATCCCGATTTTCCCGAACGTTCCCAGGAACATTTCTTCAAAATAAGATTCCCGGAATGTCCCCATCTCTAGCCATGGTTGACGCCGTTTTTTTTTTCGATCATACGATATAAACAACTACAATAAACAATGAAAAAATAGACGCATCAAAATCATAAAAACACAACTTACAATCCTACATAATTTTTAGGAGGAGCAATTTCTCAAGCCAAAGGAGCGTTCTCAAGCTGGTGGAGTAATCTATTAGTAAGCCCAGAACCTGTTTTGAGTAAAGAAACAGAACCCAACGGCTTGCCTGATGAAAAACCAAACGCTACGTTGGATGAAACGCCGGAAAATGACAAGGAGACAATTCTGAATGAAAATGTAGGCAATATGACAGAAAAAGACCACACAAATATTTTCAACGAAATAAAACACTTGACGAAAGACATGGATACTTTCTTAGTCAGTGATAAAGTAAACGGTACCGAATGTACTGAATCTCACGTTAAAAGTCTGTCAAATATACATGAAACAAGTCAAATTGCTGTAGATAATGGAAAAAGTTAATTTACTGTAGAATTATAAGATTTTCCAGTTACATACTTGAATTTTAAAATTAATATTATTTTTATACTTGTTTTGTTTCCTTACTTTGTTATTTTTATATCTTTTTATTTGTAATATTATAGGGTATATTAAAAAAAATATTTTTGTTACTATTTATATTAAATGTTGTATTTTTTTGCTAATTTAATTGGGTTTTTGAAACTTTTTATGTGATCTCTCCTATTTGTTTTAAATTTTTGTTATGAATTGATCAGTGCACATATCCAAACCTGGGTAGCTTAAATCAGTAGTAATAGGAATTCAAACGTGTTAGAAAGAGACAAAAGTAGACTGATATATTTTTCTACACTACATTGCCGGATTTTCCATAAAAAATAAACTCATTAAGAAAGCGCTTTGAATAGTATTTTTATATTCAGCGTGGTATTGAGATCTTGTCAATCATATAACTTGAAGTTCAAATATAAAATTATAGTTTTAAAAGTTCTTTGTCTCTCTTTATCACGTTAGAATTTCCATTAATGTATCTCCATTATTAGTGATCTGACAGCTTGGCTGCTTTAAGAAGCATCACCATGCAGTGATATCGAAAACTGTGATGGACTGCTGAGAAGCACTGTCTTGGCCACTCTGTGCTGGGTGCCAGGCCACAGCAACGTGGTAGCCATCCAAGAAGCAGACAGGCTCGCTAAAGAGGGGACCAGGGGAGTGGCCGTAGCAGATGACCCACCATTTTAATAATCAACACACACTGAAGGAAGCTATAGGAACTACCATCAAGGCCAAGCAGCAAGAGACGTGGCAACACCGTAAGGACTGCGCTACAGCTGGAAGTCTGTGGCCAGTGGTAGATAGCAAGAAGACAAAACAACTACTAGAGCATAACCTAGTAATGCGGAGAGGAAATCATAGCACCTGCTGTCGGGCACTGGAATACCGACGCTTTAAAAGTTTAGGGCAAGGTTATTCTGAGTGCCTAGAGGAAGCAGCAGAAGCGAACATCAGTGACAACGGGAACTTTGCAAATAGCTGGAAGTGTTTTAACGCAAAGAAAGAATGAGAGGAAGGTTTGGTACAAAGATATAGGGGTATCGCAATGGGCCCAAGGCCTCCGAGTGAAGTATCAAACATGATCTCAAACCCCAGCAACCTAATCTAACCTAACCTAACCTATCTCCTCCTTACACGTTAAAATCCAGATCACGGATTTAGGATGACCAGGTCTGTATATTACCTTTTAATATTCTATATACTATTTTATTATTTACCTGTAAGGTAATAAAATAGCAAAATGTGTACTCAAAAAAATAAAATTTGTTAATGAATTTAAAATTAGAATAATGCTTTCTCTGATTTTTATAGTTAAATTATAGAAGAATACCGAGTAAATTACTCGCGTATAGTCTGTTCAGCTAAAGAATACTTGACAGTGATAGTTGTCTGTCAATTTCATTAAAAAAAATCTAATTTTTTAGTTGACTTCTGTCGAAATCATATATTCTCCTGCTGGACAGACTATATTTGTAGTTTAAGACGGGCAAACAAAAAAAAACGTTGTCTTGCATTGCGTTGAAAGGCTGTTTTAGTAACTGAAAATTCAAATAATCTGCAACAATAATAAATAAGCATAATATACGATGTCATCATCAAAAAACTGAAAGAAAAAAACTTCTAATTCAAACTGTCAACTGTCAATGTCTTAATCTTTTGTATTTTTCTTTTCTTATTTATTAAAAATGATTAAAAAAACTAGTTCTAGTAAAATAACTATATATATATATATATATTTAAATAAACTTAAATTTGCCATAAGTATTCAAATTATCATGATCATTCACATTTTTAAGGATTTTTAAGTCCTAACATTATAAACCATTCCACGAAATATAATATATTCCTCGAGCTTCTGACTGTTAAGATAATAAAATTATTAGAATTATAAAAATATAATAGTTCATAATATTATACAGGGTGTCCCAGAAATAAGTGCAAGTATTTTAAGGGGTGGTAGATCTCGATAAAAGAAACATATTTTCTCTTTATCGTTTTTCAAATAAGTCCCAAATAACGGAGTTATTTTACTTTGAAAATTTCAAAAAAAAAAAATTTTGCCAAAATTTTGAGAACCACTGGATCTTTTCTGGATTTTCTTTCATGTAAATTTAATCTAATACCTATGTTGCTATATTATCAAGAAATTATGTTTTTTTAACTAAAAAAATTTCGAATTTTAAAATTTTTTTTTTTCGCAAAAAACCTCATAGGCGTGTTTCTGGGGTTGAACTATACTACCAGTTAAAATACTTGCACTTATTTCTGGGACACCCTGTATATTTTGATCAAAAAAGTCCAATGGGTATTTCGCCACTTGTCCTGTAAAAAAATCAGGTTGTTAGCAGTGATTTACTAATAAGAAAATTTGCCTAACGGACAAAAAATGCTTAACGTTTCGGGAAGTATATCTCTTCCCGTCGTCGGAAACAAAAAGAAACACAAAGAACAAAGAAAAAAATGTATTTAAAATATCTAAGTGTTTTTGTAAGTTTGTAGTTTTTTTAAGTGTTCTATGTTAGCGTTTCTGTTTTATGTGTTTATTGTTTATTGTTTAACATTACATAAGAAAAATTAAAAAATAATCATACAGAAAGTTTGAGGCTTTTTGGTTTTACTTCATTAAGTAAATTGTTATCTGTTAAAAAAAAGTAAAGTATTCTTGAGTAGTTTAGATATTTTAAATAGTTTTTTTCTTTGTTCTTTGTGCTTTTTTGCTTCCGACGACGCTACGGTATGATCGAGAAAAAAAAACGGCGTCCAGTTGGCTTGGAAATCACGATCGTTGACATTTTACATATAAAATCACGGCGATCGTTATTTCATAGCCATCGCTGACGCCGTTTTTTCTTCGATCATATACGGTACCTACTTCCCGAACCCGAATTTTAAATTTGTTTCTTTTGCATTACTGATATAGGTATGCATTATAATCTCTATATAGAAAAATAGAACCTATAAATGTACAGGGTTATCATTTTAGTTCGACCCACTTTTAAAAGCTTATAACTTTTTTGTTTGTTGGGTTAAAGCAGTCATTTAAAAAACATGTTGTAGCAGTTTCAGCCAAGTCACAAGTTTTCGTCACATGTCAGATTTTTAAAACTAAAAAAAAAACTTTTTAAATGGGACACCCTGTATATTAGTAGCGCATTAGATAGTCCCCTTTTTTCCGAATTCAAAAATGTATCACACATGTGCATTGTTCTTAATTTCTACAATATATTTTTTGAATGAATGCTTTAACCCAACAAACCAAAAAGTTATAAAACTTTTAAAAATGGGTCAAACTAAAATGATAGCCCTATACCTTATTATTGAGAAAAAAACGTCGTATTAGCTTAGAAATGACGATCGATGACGTTATACCATATAATTTTACATAAAAATGACACCGATTTTCATTTCCGACCCTGTTTTTTTTTCGATTGTCTAGTATTGTAGTTATACAGTATGATCGAAAAAAAAACGGCGTCAGCGATGGCTATGAAATGAAGGTCGCTTTCATTTTATATGTAAATTTATATGGGAAATGTCATCTATCGTCATTTCCCAGCTAACTGGACGCCGTTTTTTTTTATCATACGGTATTTTTTCAGTCAACAGTTTTGAAATGTGTTCATATATAAGAAATTAAAAACAGTCAGTTTTTTATAAAAATATAATATAACACCCATTTTATTTTTGTATGTATTTTCCTAAAAATAAAAGCATATAGTTCAATTGGTATATTAAGCATAGGCACTGTTAGGAACTATTTGTATATTAGTGGATATTTATTTTAAATATTGTATGTACTTAAAATACCCTATGATCGCATAAAAACGGCGTCAGCAATGGCCATGAAATGACGATCGATGACATTTCCCATATAAATTTACATATAAAATGTCGCCGATCTTCATTTCATAGCCATCGCTGACGCCGTTTTTATTCGATCATACGGTATTTATTCAAATTAGTTTAGACAAAATTTAGATTTAATAATAATTGTTTTGATAATTAAAAATATAGTTGAATTGATTACTCGAAAATAAATATTATATAGAGAGTGTTTTATTATTATCCCTTTATAATGTAAAGTACCATATGATCGAAAAAAAAACTGCGTCAGCGATGGCTATGAAATGAAGATCGTCATTTTAAATGGGGAATGACATCGATATTCATTTTCAAGCCAACTGTATGTCGTTTTTTTTTAGTCATATGGTACCATACGAGCCAAAAAAAAAATCGGCGTCAGAGTTGACATGGAAATGAAGATAGCTGTCATTTATTATAGGTACCGTATGATCGAAAAAACGGTATCCAGTTGGCTTGGAATTGACGATCAATGAATGACATTAGCCATATATATACAAAATGACAGCGATTTTCATTTCCAAACCACGTCTGACGCCGTTTTTTTTTTCGATTGTATTTTCAAGCCAACTTGAATACGTTTTACCCTTGTCTAAGGGTTTTACGAATATACGGTAATATACCTTAACGATTATACAGTAATATACGTATGATCGAAAAAAACGCTGTCCAGATGGTTTGGAAATGACATTCCCCATGTCATTTACATATAAAATGACAGCGATCTTCATTTTATAGCCATCGCTGACGCCTTTTTTTTCGATCATATTTACTGTGATATTTTATGTATCTCCATATTATGAATGAAATTTCAGTAGCGCCTTTGAGTGTAAATAGAGTTGCCTACACAATAACATCAAAAACAAAAGTAATGATATTGCCACATATTGCTCTCATTTTTTTATTAATTGTTATGGATGATTAATCAGTTTATATCTAACGCAATAAAAAAATGACATAAATTGTGAAATCTTCATAAAAACATAAATAGAATACGAAAAAAAACTTTAGACTAGGGAGTTTTTGGGCGTGTTTTTATTGAGGCTAAATAGAGGGCGGTTTCGTGCGCCTATGAGCCGGTATAATAGTTTGTTTATTTTCCCACTGAACGAAGCGATTTCCCGACAGCTTGTCACTTAAAAACCGTACTTGCTTACTATACCTTTCATGCAAAAGGCAAAACATTACAAAGTATATTAATCTT